GGGGGGGGGGGGGGGAAGAAAGCCCTCTCTCATTGGCTCCTATCTGCCACTGAGCTCCACTGCAGTGGCCCCGTGTCCCCAGGTAGCTCAGTGCAGGATCAGGGCCACAGGTGCATTTCTCTAGCTAGCAGCCGGCTCCATCCCCATTGAATTCTACGGGGCTCGCAGCAAGCTGGAGAGGGACACAAGGGAGTAGGGTGACCAGACAGCAAATGTGAAAAATCGGGACAGGGGTGGGGGGTAATAGAAGCCTATATAAGAAAAAGACCCCAAAATCGGGACTGTCCCTATAAAATCGGGACATCTGGTCACCCTACAAGGGAGCCAAGCGCCTCGGTGGAACTGGCAGCTGACCTGCAGCGGGACCGAGCCCGGGCGCTCTCCTAAGGCAGGCACGGCAGTGCGTTTGCTCTCGGTGCGCGGTCCCTTTAAGAAGGCCCCTCCGCAGGCTCCGGGGCTAGTGCACGCTGGGATCAGCCGCACGGAGCGGGGGGCGCTGGGCTGCCTTTCCCGCACCTGGAGCCGCGCAGCCTCTGGCAGGAGCAGCGAGACGTACGGAGGGCCCCGTGCTCAGCCCGCTGGGGTGTGGCTGCTCCCCCTTGGGCCGCGAGCAGCGTGGCTGGCGATGATCTGATTGCACGCGCTGTATTTTTGCATTCTCTTCCTCTTGCTAGGTGCAGCCTCCTGCTCCCCCCCGGCATCCATGATGGCTGAGCCGCGGCCGCTGTTCTGTGCAATGTGGCTCCTTTCAGCTATCGCTATGGGGGTGCTGCTGGCAGGTCCCTCCTCAGCTGCAGCAGGGGATGCCCCGCCTGGCAAAATAGGTAGGCGCTGCTCCTTCTCCCTGGAGAATGGAGGAGAGTCACTGAGATCACGACAGTAGAAAAGATGAATGGGGTGGGGAGGCCAGCCAGCCAGCCAGCCACTGATCAGAAGAGACCAAGGAGTGGCAGGGCTTATGAATCTGCAGGTCGGGGGGGCTAAGAGGCATTGGCAATGCTGGGGGCGGGGGGGCAGAACCCAGCCTTGGAAGAGCAGCGGGTGCTGAGGGCCAGGATTCAGGGGCATCAGCAGGAGCAACAAGGGCTGCTGAGATCAGGGTGGTGAAGCATTGCAGAGCTGTGGCCTTCAGTGCTGGCCTGTCCGGCGAGGGTGTGCAGCCATTGGTTTAATTTGACTTCTATATGGAGGGGGCAGCTCCAGCCAGGCCAATGGGGCCCTGTGTGTGTGTGGGGATTCTGCATCTGCCTGAGGCTTGCAATTTGGATGGGGGAGGGGGGCAAAGCTCTCCATGCCCCACCCAAACTACGTCCATGGATGCAGCTGGTCAGGACTGAGGTGCGTGGGTGAAGCCTGCCCAGCTCTCGCCTGTGCTGTGCTTGGTTCCAGGCAGCGGGTCTCTCCCTCATCCTGAATCCACTCCTTTCACCTGGGGGGTAAAAGAAGAAATAACTCAGAGCATTCCAGTTCTCAGGGGGCTAGGGTGCCACGGACCTGGTGAGCCGGGTTGGCTTAGTGCCCTTCACAAGGGTTGTGCTTGTGGCAAAACTAGCCCTCGAGCTGTACAGGAGATTGGGATTGATCTGCTGAGTGTGCCCCAGGCAGATGACCTATGACATATGCCCACCTGGTGGCAGTTTGCTCCTGTGTATGTCTGTCCCCCCCTCCCCCTCCCCCTCCCCAGGTCAGGGCTGGTTTGTAGCATGTGTCCAGGCAGTTGTTTAGCTGAATTAGTCTCTAGATAGGAAAGGTCCTCGGGCTGCTGATGGCTTGTGCTGATGCTGCTCTGTCGCACTTGAGTGTGTCTGGCATTTGGTAACGGACCCCTCTGACCCTTGCTGTCCCCTCACATGGAGTTTCCCTCCTCTATCCCCATCACTCAGGTTCCTCGGCCCTTCCCAGGTCTGGGACCAGTTTTATTTTGATCCCAGCCTTCTTGCCGGCTCACTAGGAGCTGAGTACCTTAGAGTTGCTGCCTGGGGAGTCCTAGCCACTGCTCAAGCCCGTCCCAAGGTCTCACATTACAGAGGCTGTGCTTTCTTGATCTGATGCGGTGTGTGGGGATAGCCCACGCTTCGGGGTCCCCTCTGTACACGCTGCGTCTCTCTGCGAAAGCAGCCTCCTGCAGATGTGCTGCTCCGCTTTGTTGTGACCGTGGAGAAAGCTGCGGGTATGTTCATCGTGTCTAATAGGCCTGTTTCCCTTGCCTCCCCCCTGGCAGCTGTGGTGGGCGCCGGGATAGGTGGCTCGGCGGTGGCCTACTTCCTGCAGCAGCACTTTGGACCACAGGTGCAGCTGGACGTATACGAGAAGGGCAGTGAGGGGGGCCGACTGGCCACCATCATCGTCAACAAGCAGCAGTACGAGTGCGGTGGCGCCTCTATCCACTCGCTCAGCCTGCACATGCAGGACTTCGTCAAGCTCCTGGGTGAGTGCTGCCCCTCCCCTCTGGTGCACACAGGGAGTGGGCGGGAACCCCTCTGTCCTTGCCCCTTCCCTGGAGCTTGGGAAGAGAAGATGCTTGGTGCTGACCCTGCTCCTCAGGAGAAACCTTCTGCTCCAGCCTGCAGGGCTGGGGTGTTTGCAGCACAAATTCCCCTCCCCTCCAAACAGCTAGGCCTCCACCTAGCTTAGCTCCCAATCATGAGTGCGGTGAGGATGGGGGGCTCAGCGTTGCCAAACCCACCAGGCCGATGTGACATCCCAACGTGATGATCTGAATCCCCTTCAGAAAGGGCTGGTGTCGTCGGCACTCCTGCTCCCTGATCGCTCGACCCAAAGCAGAGCGTAGATAGACCCTGGCGTGAGCTGTGTCCCTCATTCTGAGCTAGAGGACCAGGGAGTTGCAGGGCCGGAGAGTGGCCAACAGCCTGCCCTCTGTGTTTGTTACACTCGAGCCCTATCGCTCCCTCGTCCTGAGGGACATCACAGGGCTCAGGACTGGGATAGCAGAGGGGCACGACAGGGGCCCTGTGGGACTTGGGCTTGGGCTTGGAGGAACAGGGGCTGTGGGCAGGATCAAGGAGCATTGCAGTGAACCTGATAGAAGCCAGTCTCTGGGTGCAGTATCAGTGGGAGCAATGCTTGAGGACTGAGGAACAGGAGTTTCTGTCACTGTGGCTAAGAGTCATGATCTGTTCTGTTCAGCCAACCCAGAAGCAGTGTGTGCCTCTAATTCATGGCAGGTCATGTCTGTCCAGGGAGCCTGGATCCTAAAAGAGCCCATGGAATTTCACACTGTGCATGTAATTAGGGTTGGGCCCACCCAGATTTCTAGTTCTCTGAGTTTGGGGCTGTTAGGACCTAGGGTTTGGTTCAGCTCATGATAGAGAGAAGAGCCAGTGACAAAATCCAGATCTGGATCTACATCCTGACACTTCACCCCATCCCCTGCCCCCCCCCCCCCCCACGGGTTGTTTTGCTGTGGGCTTGCCAGCACTTGGGCCCATCAGCAGTATCAGTGCATACAGCGAAGGCTTGTCGTCACGTGCCCCGCTCCCCCCCATGCTCTGGATGGCTGACTTAGCTTCTCTCTCTGTCGCCCTCTGCAGGCCTGAAGCACCGACGAGAGGTGGCAGGGAAGAGCGCCATCTTCAGTGGGGAGCAGTTTGTCCTGGAGGAGACGGACTGGTACCTGCTGAACCTCTTCCGGCTCTGGTGGCACTATGGAATCAGCTTCCTGCGCCTGCAGATGTGGGTGGAGGAGGTGATGGAGAAGTTCATGAGGTATGGGACGGCTCGGCAGCATCAGTGCTTCTGGGAGGGGAGGGAGCGGGTGTGGCCTTCCCCCTCTCGGCCCCAGGCTGGATGCTATGCCCGATCCCCCAAGGGACTCGGTCACCAGGTGGCCAAGATGAGAGAGGCTCGGTACAGGGGCCGGGATGGGTGTGTGCGCTGTTCCTGACTCCCTTTCTACTCCCCTCCTGCAGGATCTACAAGTACCAGGCACATGGCTATGCCTTCTCCAACCTGGAGGAGCTCCTGCGCTCGCTGGGTGGCGAAACCTTCATCAACATGACGCAGCGCTCTGTGGCCGAGTCCCTGCTGGAGGTGGGCGTCACGCAGCGCTTCATTGACGACGTCATCGCAGCCGTCCTGCGCTCCAGCTACGGCCAGTCAGTGCTTGTGCCCGCCTTTGCAGGTGAGGCCCGGTTGGTCATGCCAGTGCCGCCTTCATGCTCTGCCCTGCAAGGGCCCCAGGAGCCTCCTTGGAGCCAGCAGCTGGTGCTGCTCAGTGGACTCGGGGACGCTCTGCCATTGGGACATCTGAAGCCAAAGACAAGCATGCATCTCCTCCGGGAGCAGGCGTCCTGGGGAAATGCGTCCCTTCCGCAAATGGAGTCTAATCCCCACTGTTCCTTTTCCCAGGGGCCATGTCGCTGGCAGGGGCTCAGGGCAATACGTGGGCTGTGGAAGGCGGCAACAAGCTGGTATGTTCGGGTTTGCTGAAGCTAACTAAAGCCAACGTGATCCAGGCCAGGGTGACGGGTGTCTCTCTGCACAGCTCAGGTGAGCCAGCTGGGCCTTCTGGCTCTTACCTGCATGGGGGGTGGGGAGGGGATGTGGACACTGGGGATTGTATATCTGCCAGTGGGGGGCTGAGTCTGTAGGGCTAGGGGCCTCAGTGGGGTAGGGATATCTCTAGGACTAGTGCATTCCCCTCTTGCCTCTGGATTCAGGGGCATGAGCAGAGCAATGGGGGAAAGCAGAGAGCAGAAAATAGCAGATCTGATGGCAGGATGAGGCGGGCCGAGAGGCCTCAGATTCCCTTCTCTGCCATCCCCCAGCCCTCTGCCTTTGCTGTTTCCCCCTGCTCTGCCCATTTGCATCTGTTAGGTTTGGGTGGATGCCTTCTCCCTATGCTGTCATGGTATCGTAAAGCATCGATGTGAGGGTGCCTGGGATGGGTCACGCTGAGAATGCCACACACAGGGCAGACACTCCCCAAAACTGGTGGTTTATTCTAGGGCTGTCAAGCGATTAAGAAAATTAATCGCAATTAATCACTCAATTTAAAAAAAGTAATCGCACTGTTAAACAATAATAGAATACCATTTATTTAAGTATTTTTGGATATTTTTCTACATTTTCAAATATATTGATTTCAATTACAACACAGAATACAAAGTGTACAGTGCTCACTTTATATTTATTGTTTATTACAAATATTTGCACGGTAAAAAACAAAAGAAATAGTATATTTCAATTCACCCACTACACTAATACAAATATTGTAGTGCAATCTCTTTATAATGAAAGTTGAACTTACAAATGTAGAATTATGTACAAAAAATAACTGCATTCAAAAATAAAACAATGTAAAACTTTAGAACCCTCAAATCCACTCAGTCCTACTTCAGCCAATTGCTCAGACAAACAAGTTTGGTTACAGTTTGCAGGAGATAATGCTGCCCACATCTTGTTTACAATGTCACCTGAAAGTGAGAACAGGCGTTCCTTCGCATGGTACTGTTGTAGCCGGCATTGCAAGTTATTTATGTGCCAAATGCGTTAAAGATTCATGTGTCCCTTCATGCTTCAACCACCATTCCAGAAGACGTGTCCATGTTGATGACGCGTTCTGCTCGATAACGATCCAAAGCAGAGCAGACGGATACATTCTCATTTTCATCAGCTGAGTCATGCCACCAGCAGAAGGTTGATTTTTCTTTTTTGGTGGTTCGAGTTCTGTAGGTTCTGCATCGGAGTGTTGCTCTTTTAAGACCTCTGAAAGCATGCTCCACACCTCATCCCTCTCAGATTTGGGAAGGCACTTCAGATTCTTAAACCTTGGGTCAAGTGTTGTATCTATCCTTAGAAATCTCACAACCTTCTTTGCGTTTTGTCAAATCTGCTGTGAAAGTGTTCTTAAAACTAACATGTGCTGGGTCATCATCCAAGACTGCTATAACATGAAATATATGGCAGAATGTGGGTAAAACAGAACAGGAGACATACAATTCTCCCCCAAGGAGTTCAGTCACAAATTTAATTAACACATTATTTTTTTAATGAGCATCATCAACATGGAAGCATGTCCTCTGGAATGGTGGCCAAAGTATGACGGGGCATATGAATGTTTAGCACATCTGGCATGTAAATACCTTGCAATGCTGGCTACAAAGGTGCCATGCGAACACCTGTTCTCACTTTCAGGTGACATTGTAAATAAGAAGCAGGCAGCAGAATCTCCCGTAAATGTAAACAAACTTATTTGTCTTAGCAATTGGCTGAACAAGAAGTAGGACTGAGTGGACTAGTAGGCTCTAAAGTTTTACATTGTTTTGTTTTTGAGTGCAGTTATGTAACAAAAAAAAATCTACATTTGTAAGTTACACTTTCATGATAACGAGATTGCCCTACAATACTTGTACGAGGTGAATGGAAAAATTCTATTTCTTTTATCATTTTTACAGTGCAAATATTTGTAATAAAAATACTATAAAGTGAGCACTGTACATTTTGTATTCTGTGTTGTAATAGAAATCAATATATTTGAAAATGTAGAAAAACATCCAAAAATATTTAATACATTTCAATTGGTATTCTATTGTTTAACAATGTGATTAATTTTTTTATCGCAGGGGTTTTTTTTTTTTTTTGAGTTAACTGCAATTAATCGACAGCCCTAGTTTATTCTATAATTAGATTCACCAAGCCAGTAACAAGAGCTTCTGTAGCACCGCACTGGTTAACCAGAAGCCAAACAGTCCCCTTTGGCTCCCTGCCAGATAACCAACTCGAATATAGTGAGGGGTTACTGAAAACCCATTTCACTATATGTGAGGTTCTACCAATCCCAAAGGATCAGACACTTATCCTCCGGTCAAAATATAATTGAGATCTTACCCAAATATCACGCTGTCAGCCAATCCTTAGTAAACTAACAAAAGATTTATTAAGAAAAGAAGAGAGTTATTGAATGGTTAAGGAATCGTCTACATTCAAGTGATTTTCAGTGTTCCTACATCAGAATCATAGCAGTGATGTGTTATCTGCTGGCTTGTAAAAGTCTCTCTGGAATCATCCCAAAAGGTTAGAATTCAAATGCAGCTTAGATGTAAAGTCTGATAGTCTTTCCAGGCATTTTCCAGGGTCTTCCAAATAGTGATTTGGTTACATTAAGTCCCACGACTTAAACTTTCCCTGTTCAAAGTTCAGCAGACTAGAGATGAAAGGATCAGCCAGAGATTTCTCTTTTTAGCTCTCTAGCAAGCCGAGAAGCCTCCTCACAGAAATTGTCACAGCAGGGCTTTCCCCCGACGAAGAATAGGCAATGCAGGTATTTTGTGAACCACTGCTTTGAAGTTAATTTTCTCTTTCCTATACATACACAGGTAATCTAGTTACACTATAAGACAACAGCCGATCATTCGTTATAACAGAGACAGATAAGCTGAAGACAACATAAGTAATATTATTAGTTCCCTGCAGTGTCTCACATCTTTGAACTTAAGATTAACTGAACACGGCCGTGTACATAATATAAGGCAATTACAACATGAAAGGGAATTAGCATCTACAAACTAATTTGGTTACATTGTTAAACTTCTAACAGGGCACAGGTACTCAAACACATTTAGCATCTGCCCTGGATTTCTATTACTACAAATGAATGAGTTGGTGATTGCTGGTCTAGTACATCTCTTTGGGCTGGTCTACACTGGGGGGGCGGAATCGATCACAGGGTACGTCTTCACTTACCGGAGGGTCCGGCGGCAGGCAATCGATGTTCTGGGATCGATTTATCACGTCTGGTTAAGACGCGATAAATCGATCCCGGATCGATCCCGGAAGAGCTCGCCGTCGACGCCGGTACTCCAGCTCGCCGAGAGGAGTACGTGACATCGACGGGGGAGCCTTCCTGCCGCGTCTGGACCCGCGGTAAGTTCGGACTAAGGTACTTCGAATTCAGCTACATTATTAACGTAGCTGAATTTGCGTACCTTAGTCCGAAGTGGGGGCTTAGTGGGGACCAGGCCTAAGATACGCAACTTCAGCTATGCGAATAGCGTAGCTGAAGTCGAAGTATCTACGATCGAATTACCTGGGGGTCCACACGGCGCGGGATCGACAGCTGCGGCGTTACCGTTGCTCGCTCCGGTGGAGTTGAGGAGTCGACGAGGAGCGCGTTCGGGGATCGATTA